CTCTAACCACTATTAAAACACTGTCAAGAGAAATCTGAACAAAGTGAATTACTGTAGTTTAACAAGGGTTCCTTCCCATCAGTGGATTTCACTAAGTCTCAGGGTCAGGACTGTAGACTTCAGAGGCATCTTAGTGTGTAATCATAAACTTTACTTCTCTGGATGAGTTGGATACACCATGATTTGCAAATGAGAAAGGAGCATAGATGTCAAAAAGGGGGAAGCATTTGCCAAGATGCTCTAATTCTCACAGGTGGTCATGAGATTCTGCCATTCTGAAATCTGGGATCTATTGCCCCTGCCCAAATATCCTACTGGTGGGGAGACAGGGTTACCAAATGTAAACTGTCTGAAGGTTTAGCCACTAGAGGGAGAAAGTGTGCCTCTGGTGACTAGAGAGCCAATGAAAGCAACTCATGAAAAAGATAGGCTTCGAGGGAGCTAAATTAAGCTCTAATCAGCCAAGGGCAAGGACTATATCAATTGCAGTAACTTGGGGGAACTTGAGGATGTACCTTTAAGACTTCATAATGGATCCTCTTCTACCAAAGAATGAAATTGCTTAAACTATTAAGATATTTTATCTTAATTGTGAAAATGTTTAAATTAATCTTTCCTGAGGACCTCTATAACTTTGCAGACACTTAAACACTTAGGCTTAGTTTTCAGGAGGGATTTAAGACAATTTAGAGATGTTGCCCTTTATATACTGGGCATTCACATATTATGAACAACATTCCAATTTTTCTGAGGTAATTTAAGATTAAAATCTTTACTGTCTATAAGGCTAATTAGAATAATGTGTGGTTTCTGTCTTCAGTCTTTCCCAAATATAACTTTAGAAAGACTTTCATTTAGATAATTGGCAGATAGCTTAAAAAATTTTGGTTTACCAATACGGAACTCACAGGAACTGCAATTTTGCTTAAAATCATCAGAAAGTTTTTGTAAGCCTGAGCCGAAATGATTTATCTCGGATGAAAATTGGTTAATGTCGTTTGCTGTATGATCCCAACTATCACTTTCCGTAATTAGAAAAAATGAGATATTGGTATCATTTATTGAACAAAACAGTGTTTAACAAATACAATGCATACAATAAACATTTAAAAAGTAATTCATCATAAAATTTAAATATAATTATACAAGTTACATGGTATCTATTTAGTGTTTATCAATGTGAATGAATCCCTTCCCCGCAACAAAATCCAGAGAAAAGGCATTATCCAACATTTCCAAGACCTACAGAGTGGTGCTTAAGTATATAGTTGATGATTTTATTTTCATTGTGTCATTTCTCTTTCCTCAGCAGAAAAAAAAACCTCAGCAACTAATTCTGGGATTCTTGAAATGAGTAGGAGTACGGTGCCTGCTTCTACTCTTTCAGCATTGATTTTCTTCACAATCTGTGATATGGTTTCTCAGAAATGCTGTTTGGCAGTCCTGATAATTTCATGTGTTTTCAAACTTAAGCCACCCAGACTACACAGTTCAGTATTTTCAGCTCCTTTCATTTTCCTTTTCCCTTTAATTATAGAAGTCTCTATTCCCTCTTTTTGCAAATGCGGTCAAGAAAGATACGAAATGCTCCTATTTGCAGAAAGAATATACATCTGTTTTTCTCATGATGACTCCTATCAGATGTTCCCAAGTAAAGAAGCTGTGATTGATTCTATTCATGGGCAACACTTACAGGGTAACAACCTTTTGGACCCTCCTCCGTTCCTTGACTTAGGGGAATGTGGCAGATGCCCGGGGGAGAAAAAGCAAGCACACACTCTAATATCACATTTGCACTGCAAAGCACTTTCAAAATAGGAATAGTTGAGCTTCATTCCGGACCTGAATTTCTTTCTCCGTCCATTCCCGAGACCTCTCTGTCCTGCTTGACGTCCTGGTCTCTCGAGTGCCGTTGTGTGAAACTGCACCGCATAGTTGATTGCGAAGGCTGAGTGGGTGGGTGGGTCCACGCGCACACGGCGACTCGGGCCAGGACGCAGATCCCGGAGCTCCGCGTCGGGCGCCCGGGTCGCCGTCCCGCTCCCTTCGCCGCCCGGCCTCACCCCACATCCCAGTTTGAAAGAAAACTTCACGCGGCCGAAATGAACCTCCCCTCATCGTTCCATTCCTTCCTTCCTAGCCGGCAGAAAACGTGAGATTTATTACAACTCGGGGGGGAGTGGGTGCGGGTGGCCGTGGCACCCTCGGAAGATGGTTACCTGGCGCCCCCCGGGGGGGAGGGGTCCGCCGTCCGGGAACCGCAGGACTGGGGGGCGACGCGGCCGGGCGCGCGCGGGTGGGCACCGAGGGAGTGCGCGCGTCGCGGAGCTGCCGGGGCAGCACTTGTCCTGTAATCGATTGCCGAGCGCGCCGAGCGGCTGAGCGCGCAGACACGCGCACACGCGCGCGCACCCCCCCACACACACGCACAGGAGCTCAGGCCCCGCACACACGCACGCGCGCGCGCACGCACGCCCGTCCGCGCCCGGGGCCCCGCCGCCCGCCGACTGCTCATG